TTTTTTTTCTTAGTTTAGGCTTGTGCTGGATCAACACAAAATCCACGATGGCATTTTATTGAAATGAAATATTGTACGTGCCCTCGGGTGCTCTGTGATCTGTCAGCAGAAAGATTTTGACACGGAAAAGGAAGAGAGGGTGATGGCTTTCATGGAACAACATGACATTTAAAACCCGCCATGTCACCACTGGGCATTCACCACGTGGATGATGTTAATGTTTTCGGATAACTTAATGGATTGTGCTTCTTCTTGGTCGGACGGCTCGGTCGTTTTGACAGGAAAACACTTTTATTTTTTTTTTAATGCTAAACGTGTCCTGAAAGAAATAGTCAGACATTACAAACAGAGAATTTGGAAAATAATCTTATTGTCTCCTTGAGTTTGATTAACAAGTTCAGTTTTAGTCTCACGTCTGTACTGGGAATATAAAGCTAGCTTTAGCAACGTCGCTAAACGTAGCACGAAATCTGAAAACAAGTGGAATCAGCTAGCTAGTTTTTGTTCTAAGGTAGCAAAGTTTGGCATCTCTAAGGTTCATTGATGACCAAATGTCCAATATTTTTCTATTTCGAATTAAATAGACTGTACTAAGCAAAGTTAGCATCTCTAAAATATATTATGTCTGTTATTTTCCAAATCAATGCTAAGATAAACTGTGCTAAGCAAAGTTAGCATCTAAAACATGTAATATGTCTAAAGTTTTTTTTTAGTCCATGCTAATGTATGCTAAGTAAAGTTAGCATGTTCTAAAATTCACTATGTCTTTCATTTTTTTAAATTCATGCTAAGATAAACTGTGCTAAGCAAAGTTAGCATCTCTAAACCCATTATGTCTTATACTTTCTTAATACATGTAAAAAAAAAAAAAAAAAAAAAAAAAACTGTGCTAAGCAAAGTTAGCATTTTAAAAAATGTATTGTCCAAAGTATTTTTTTTTTTTTTAACTTATGCTAAGATAAACAGTGCTAAGCAAAGGTAGCATCCCTAAAACCCATTCTGTATGATATTTTTAAAATCAATGCTAGGATCAACTGTGCTAAGCAACGTTAGCATCTACAAAATGTATGTCTAAAGTTTTGTTTGTTTGTTTTTTAATCCATGCTGGCATAAACTGTGCTAAGCAAAGTTAGCATCTCTAAAATTCATTGCGTCTTTTGCATGCTAAGCTAAGCTAACTCGCTGCTCTAGCTTCTTGGTGACCATTTATCATTGTTTATTTCTTCTTCACAAACAGAGGAGTGGTATCAGTTTTCCAGCTCTGCCTCCCAAAAATGACGTCCCTATGCAACTAAACTGCATTATCATTTACAATTTGAGGTCTACGTATGTTTCTGCTGGATTACGTTTGTTTGTGATGTATCATGAATCCACTTTATCACTGTAGTGTCGCTCCTTTTCAGCCAACTGATGTTATATTAGATATGGCATCACCCTGGTGACCCAGAAAACTGAGGAAAAGCTTCAGATGTGTCGCTAAAGGCTCATATTTTGATCCAAACTGTGCCAAACGAAAGTGAAGTCTAAGAATGAGGAACCTCCTGGATGAAGGTCCTGTTGGGTTTCCTCCTCAAACTGTCTGTATTTCCCAGAAATGCCAAAACTTTTGTCCAACATTTGACCCTTTGTGGATGCAGAAGGCTCCAGAGAGTGGACAGGAAATCCTCAGTGATGGTTAGATGACATGATGCAAAATCTTTCCACACACACATGAATCTCTTTCACATTTTTACCATAATGGTTAAAAAAAAAACCCAAAGAGGAGACGCGTTTGCATCACGTTGCATTGGTCTGATCCAGACAGTCGACTGTCAGTCACCAACACTCAGACAATCCTCCTCTGTTTTTATGTCATAATTTCACTCTGTGGTTTAAACGAAGCCAAATTGGCGTGCTATATGCATATAAATAACCATAATGACTCATTTGTGTCGCGCTGATTGGGTTATCTATCGCCGGGTCCACATTATGCACCGTGAGTCAGTGTCAGCTTTATTGCTTTCCTTCGCTTGATCTTATAAATGCCTGAAGGACCAGTGTGAAAACTGATCTTTATTCCGATATTAATTTTTGATGCGCCCCGCGTGCTCCGCTCATGCTTGTGTATCTGCCCCCTGTTTATTAATTATCCATCGCATATTGCCCCCACCACCCTCCCTGACCCTCCCCTCGGGCCTCCCGGTGTGCACTTCTTCCACCTTTATCCTGAAATAGCTCCTTTTTTTTTTTGTCCATCAATCCCTCCCCCCCACACCGAAGAACCATTATTTCACTGTTTTAAGAGAAAGAAAATCTTGCCGCGGTGAACAAAGAAGGAAGAAAAAAAAAATGTCAGCGCCTGAAGAAAAGGAGCTCCTTAATTGAGAGTGAATCAACCGCCGCCGCTAGCTGAATGTCAAAAGGTGTGATTGGAGATTGGCTGCAGATAATGAATAATTACATCAAAGTTGCGTCGGTGTGTGCGGCCCGTGCGCGCGACTTTTGTGTACGTCGGTTGGTTGCGTGCGAGCGAGCAGGTGCGGAGGTGTGTGCACGGCGGCGTTGCGTCAGCCTCCAGCGGCGTGGGTGTGTGTGTGTGTGTGTGTGTGTGTGTGTGTGTGGCTCGTCTGGGTGTGGGCGGCTTAGCTAATGTGTGCAGGGGATGTTTTGAATGGGGGGGAGCAGCCAGCTGGTGCTGTTTGAAATTCCAACAGCCAGTTCAACACAATCAGGCCTCCATCTCCTCCCGCCATCGCAGCCACTCGGAGCAAACACGCCAGTTAATATTTTAAGGTAACGTGGAGCGAGGGGGCGCGTGTACGGCCAGGTTTTCTTTTTTCTTTTCTTTTCTTATCCAATCTCACATGATTTCTTTTATCGCCTTTGGCTTTATCCCCATGCTGTTTGGGAGTCATACTAAAACTCTTATTCTCTTTCATAATCCATTGATCAAAAAGGGGATCTGAGCAGAGTTCAGAAAGAGGCTTCTGTGGCCTGACAGCTTCTTTTTTTTTTTTTTTTTTTACATCCACCATGACTTCTGCACTGTAAAAAAATACACTCTTGTCAATAAAAACTGTGAAAATGTGACGAAAAGTTGCCAGAAAAAAGATGATT